TTTCTCTTTGCTGTAAAACTGAAACAGAAATAAAGTACATGTTCGTTTTAACATGTGATCCGAACACATTACACATAAATTGACGTTACAAGTCACGACACACTAAGTTAACATTGTCGTAACAGAGGACAAACGGCCAAACAAGATGGCTACCAAAGCTAACGTAGTGTCGTCAATACACACGGAGAAGAACGGGATGAGTTAACGTCAATGTAGAGAAACACTCAAACTGCACACTGTATTAAAACGACACAAGATAATGATACATGGAGTAAAACACAGCACCGGAAACTTACTGAGTATGCTAACCCAAGGAGCACCGAAGCTTGCAAGAAAGCCGTGAACTGTTGTGTCTTACATCTTGAGTGTATCCCTAAAAGGTCCGGGCTAAAACTGAATATAAACTCAGTTCCCGTTGGAGACGCTGACCCACTAGAGGTAATTATAAACCAAGAAATTAGCTGAAGCTTACGTATTTTCCTTAAAGGATTAAACTAGCCCTTCATATAAAATAAATTTGGAGCCTGAAAGGCGGAATAGTCTTATTTGACTGAAAGTCGCCAAATACAAAACAGTGCAGGTGCATTTTGAAATGACTGTCACTTAAGTTTTACTTTCTGAGTATGAATTATTGTATGTATTAAAAAAAAACAACAATATGCAAACACTGTAAAAGGATTTGCAACAAACTCAACTGACTTCTCTCTGGTATGATTTCTCTTCAGACCTTATAACTGAGGAAGAACTATGCATGAGTGAAGTTGTGTGTGACCTTCTATACTTCTATGACATCATCTGGCAAAGGTGCTGCATTGACCAGTCATGTACAGGGGACGATCAGGACATGGACACCCATGGGAGAAGACACTTTTGTTACCTTGCTAACATTAGCATTCACTGCTAGTCACTCCAGTTTGGGCCACAGTTGACACATCATAACGACACACCATGCATTTTTGTTAGTACTGGGTGGTGTTTTTTTAATCTATCAGTGCGACACACTGGTGGTAGAATCGGTGCTCACAACATGCATATTATGTTTAAATTAAAGTGCAGATGCTTGTATAGTGCTTAACTGGAAATATGCAGAGATAGTAACTGTGCACCCATATTATAATTTGGATAGTAAATGGTGTTGTGTGCTCTTGTTGCTCTCTGCGGATGTTTCCTAAGATCATGGGATGTATTAAGGAGAAAACACAGGAAAGGACGTCTTATTTCTCTTAATTACTCTAACTGGTGCAGTAATTATTTTCTTCTGGTATCATAATGACAGAATGACCAGCATCACTTCTAGCACTGTTAAAACTAAAAATAAATTCATAATGGCTTCCTATTAAGATTTTCACTTGGTTTTCATATTGGCAATATTAATGCTTATTTAGCATATGCAGTATTTCAAATAGCAGAGAAAACTGTACATGTCACCACTACATGTGATGTTTTACATGCTGAGTTTTCTTACAGCTTCTAGACAGAGCCAAATATTACATCCTTCAATCTGCTTACCCATTAAAACTAAATGTGACCGGGCCAATATACAGGCCTAGGCAACTCAGACCGTAGTAACTTTTAGTAGTTCCCCAAGATTAACACCCCTCCTGTTTTCAGAGGTCAAATTCATGCAAACTTCACCAATACTGAGCTGCTACCCCCCAGATAAATCTGCAGACACGGAGACGTTGGAGTTACTCACACAAATAAAACTTTATTTGAGTCAATGTATAATTTAACAGTGAAAATATTTTAAGAAGCCTAGCCCCGGAAGCTAAAATGCTACCTATAAGAAGGAGTTCCCCCCCCCCACTCAATAAATACAGTGCAGAACAGGAATAAAATGGTCAGTATTTGGAAACAATACAATAAATAGGGAACATAATGCTAGGTAAACCTCTTAACATAAAAGCAAACAAAGCAAAACATTACATAAGCAAAACAGCAGTGGCTACCACCCCTGCAACAAGTAAAGCCACTGTTAATAAATAGCATAAAACCATCAAAACAATTAAAACCAACAGCGCTACGGGTTACCTTGGCTGCACGTCACCCTGGCACAGCATGTGCGATGGACACCAACTTCTGCTGGATTACGCTTGCATCGATTATCACTCCCGAAGATCATGCAGTAATCCCCTAAAAACAGTCTACAACCAAACCAACCTGATTAAGCACTGTACACTGCAACAGATCCGATCTACGACCAGTCCGTTGAACATACCTTAAAGGAAAAGCAGGACAGAGATCGATGGAGGGAGATTCACTTCAAACCAGTTACGGCAGCGACCAGCACAGAAATTGCTTATCGCAACAGCATTTCCCCAGGTATTATTTATATCCATGATCATTCCGACAAATTATTAACCAGGCGGTGTAGGCGTGGCCAACCCGCCGGTTACATAAAGGAAACCCTATTGTAGCACAACTAGCTTGATGCACACTCTGAGATACAAATAGCACAAAGATATAATGAACGTAAGGCACAGAACAAACTGTTCATAAAAATGTTGATGTTACCAAGCAGTGTTGTGAATTACCTCAAATTTGACAGTATATTATGCCAACAAACTTGACCGCAGTTACGGGCAGCTACCTCCTTCTATCTTCAGATGTTATTCTACTGAGAAAGTTTTAGAAACCAGTATAATTTGGCTCTTTGAGGAAGTTTTAAGTTTGGTCTGAAATAACCTATACAAGCCTTGACATTGGCCACGTATGGCAATGATTTTAGTGCACATTCTTTAGCTGACTTTAGTTAACTTCCTAGGAATGGACATTTGATTTATAATATGTAAGTTGGAATAATTGGATAATTGAATTTAAGATATTACTCTGATTAAAATTATTATAGTTGAGCTCTCACACTACTGAATAAAAGTCAAAGAATCTCTCAGTGATCACTAGTCACTGGTTGGTTTAAGTTGGTGGTTGTTGAATTTTGAGCAATCATTTGTCCCCTGTTGATTCCTTCTCAGCAGGGACTCAGAATTTTCCTTGCTGAATTTTGGAATTTTGCTAAACAGTTCAAACAGTTCTCTGATTTAAAAAAAATGCAAAAATCTCACATCTGATCAAAATACACAAATCCCATCACAACATCTAACTAAAACACAAGAATTACACACTGTTAGACAAAAACTGTCAATACATTGGATTTACAACAAGAATCATTATTATTTTGAATACAAAACTTTAACTCTTGATCAAACATTGATTATTGATGAACCTTAATACCCGATTAAACAGGCTGATTAATCAAATCTTTACTTTATGCATGAAGCATCTCCTTTTCAATAAACTCAACAGTTCTTGCTTTTCCTCTTTTCTTCCTTACACTCAGACATGCCTACAGTTCCTCTTTTGGAGAGATGTGTCTGCTAACTTCCCTTATTCACAGAAAAGTTCCCCCTTTTCCTAACTGCAGTATTGCTGCTGTTGTGCTGAAGTCTGGCTCATGGGCCTGCTTGGGTTTTCTTCTTGGTATAATTTCTTCATGGGGGCAGCTGTAGCTCAGGAGGTAGAGCGGGCTTTCTCCTAACTGGAGGTTTAGCGGTTTGATTCTCAACTTGTCCAGTCAATGTGTCAAATTGTCCTTGAGCAAGACACTGAACCCCCAGTTGCTTGAGTGTGCTGCAATGCATAGAAAAGCGCTATACAAGTATATTACCATTTAAAATTTATGATCACCTTTGTTTCTTTCTGTAGGCTTATAGTGCTATCTCCAGCTATCACTGCTGTCCAACTCTCAGTTTTCCCTGGACAATCTGCAGTAAAAAATGGCAATATGCAAGCACTGTAAAAGGTTTTGCCACAAACCTACCTGGCTTCTCTCCTGTATGATTTCACATTAGCTTCTCCAAACCTTATAACTGAATGAGCTTCTGACTTCTAATTATGCATGAACTTCTGTTAGGTTCGCTCCCCCGACACCATGGGAGAGAGAGCGAACCGAGTGAGGAATAAGTGGATTCAGGTTGGCAGAGTGCGATTTAGAACAAATATTTATTACCCCGGAAAGGCACAGAAACTAAAGGTATATAAAAAACTGAGAGGCCGAGGCGGATCAGCGGGGAACGGCTCCGACCCTGATTAGACTTAGGGGAACTGTTCGTCACCAGGCTCGGAGGGCTGACTGGCAGCGAAGGCAGGAGGAAGAGCACAGGACCTGGGAAGAGAAAAAGAGCAGAGTCTGTAGCAGACTGGGAGACGTGGATCACTGGCTCTAGTGCTGGAGACCAGGGCGCAGGAGGGTGGTGGTTTCTGCCGGCGATCGGAGGCTTCGGTGCTTTGCTGGGATTCCACGCCAAGTGGTCCACAGAGTCGAATACGAGGAGCTGAGCATGAAACGGGTAACGATGCATCTTACTAGTCCCAGACGTAGCGTATGAAAAGTTGCTGAAGGATCTCCTCCACAGATCAGGAGTTGTAGTGGCAATTTTTATAATAGCACCTTTTAAGTTCTTTAGCTGATGCTGTCATGTCATTGTATGCAGTCATTTGTGTGGTTCTGACCCCAGACCGTTTATTCCATGGTCGTAAACCTTTGTATGCCCTTGTGGTTACCAAACCAGATGTGACCTGGGACCAAAGGGCTGGTATCTTGTTGTAAATTGTATCCTGTTTCCTTTATCTGTTTGAGCATCTGTTTTCTGTTATAGTATGCTGAGTATAAGAAGGGCAGTCACATTCTGTTCATTGAACTTCCCTGTAACAGACTGGTTTAGTCACTCTGTTCAGAGAACACTCTTCCTGCAGGAATAAATATGTAATAACTTTCAGAGTTGATGTTAAGTATTTATTTTACACTCATTGAGCTTTAAAAGATAATTTTTCCACAACAGAGTGGACTTATTTGGCATTGAGGAGCAGGTAAGCTGAATGCCAAGGTTTCAGGCAAGGTGCTGGCTGCTGTTGGAACAAGAGAATGTTGAGAAGCAACGTCAGGTGCAAAAAATGTTACTTGGGGCCATCTTGACATGGCAAGAGCAACTACGAACACTAGTAGGGTATCGTGAATTGAGTAATGGAACAGTGAGTGACTGAGGGAAAAGAGGTAGTACTGTAGCTGAAAACTGGGGCATCATAGGCAATGGGTGAACACAATGAACACTGACTGGGGACTGTGGTAAAGCTGGGGCAGGAGAGATGAAGTGGCATGGGAAGAAAAACAAAAATAAAAGCACAAAAACAGGAAGCAAGTCCAGATCTTCTTCTGGCATCCGTTGGTCACAAGTGGCCATGGATTTGTGCCTTGTAGAGTCACAGTTTGGTTGTGGAGCAGTGCCTGCTGTGACTATGCAAGCTGATGCGGGAATGGCAGTCCCTGCCACACCAGCAGCACCTGAAAATAATGTTCCCAGGTGGAGGTCTCTGGCTGTTCTTGCGCCTGGCTCTCATTTCATCTAACGCAAGCTGCAACTTCTCTCCTTTGCACAGGTTGCGGTTTAACACTTGTCTCCAATGGAAGCAATCCTGGGCCAGTTCTTCCCATCTGTCAATGTCCATGTCAAGGGCTTTCATATCTCTTTTGCAGATATGTATGCTGAGTATAAGAAGGGCAGTCACATTCTGTTCATTGAACTTCCCTGTAACAGACTGGTTTAGTCACTCTGTTCAGAGAACACTCTTCCTGCAGGAATAAATATGTAATAACTTTCAGAGTTGATGTTAAGTATTTATTTTACACTCATTGAGCTTTAAAAGATAATTTTTCCACAACAGAGTGGACTTATTTGGCATTGAGGAGCAGGTAAGCTGAATGCCAAGGTTTCAGGCAAGGTGCTGGCTGCTGTTGGAACAAGAGAATGTTGAGAAGCAACGTCAGGTGCAAAAAATGTTACTTGGGGCCATCTTGACATGGCAAGAGCAACTACGAACACTAGTAGGGTATCGTGAATTGAGTAATGGAACAGTGAGTGACTGAGGGAAAAGAGGTAGTACTGTAGCTGAAAACTGGGGCATCATAGGCAATGGGTGAACACAATGAACACTGACTGGGGACTGTGGTAAAGCTGGGGCAGGAGAGATGAAGTGGCATGGGAAGAAAAACAAAAATAAAAGCACAAAAACAGGAAGCAAGTCCAGATCTTCTTCTGGCATCCGTTGGTCACAAGTGGCCATGGATTTGTGCCTTGTAGAGTCACAGTTTGGTTGTGGAGCAGTGCCTGCTGTGACTATGCAAGCTGATGCGGGAATGGCAGTCCCTGCCACACCAGCAGCACCTGAAAATAATGTTCCCAGGTGGAGGTCTCTGGCTGTTCTTGCGCCTGGCTCTCATTTCATCTAACGCAAGCTGCAACTTCTCTCCTTTGCACAGG